TAAATATCATGACGAAGATTGACGATTTTGCCGCAGTCTGGGATAAGTCCTAAATGACAAAGATCTTCGTCATCCGCAGTTAAGAGGTTAAGAGTTACACACACAAGGCACCTTTTCAGGACGTCCGTCCCTGAAATAGTAGGTAGTAGGGGTGATTTGTGACTATTATCAACTATGAGTTGATGTATAAAATTGTTTTTATTTTTTATCAATATTCTACCTATTGTTTAAACTAATTATGATTGCATTTTGCAATTTACTATTTTCTCTAAATATAGTAGTGACCATTCTTAGTAGCTATGTTTGAAAATATTGATTTGTTTAATTTTAAAATGTGAAGATATCTGACGTAACTTTTTATCCAATTAATTATTATGCAACACTGTCGACATCCAAAGCTTTGATAAAAAACCTACAGATGGCAGCAATGATGAATTTTTGTGTCAAAAGATCAATTCAAACACAAAAAAGTAGTTTAATCCAACACCCCATATTATACGGTATTCTTGAAGAAGTAAGGTGTAAAATTAAATATCTATAGTGGGCCCGGACAAAATATTAAAAAATTTTATCCATTAGTTTAATACACGCAGATCAATGGAAAAGTTGCAGACCATGACGCTCAATAAATACTGATTTTTTAAAAAATTTATAAACGATTTTAATACTGCTACACTTTAAGGGGTTATATACAGTCAGGCGGTCGAAAAAATGCAGTTTTTCGGGATTTTTTTTCCAAGGAATATTTATTTATTGAAGCGGAAGTTTTTCTATATTGTTTTACAACTTTTAAAATTTGAAAAAATATATTTAATTCGTAAAAATATTATTCCTTTTGGCCTCTATATCTTATCTCCCAAAGGTCCTCGAAAAAAAGTGTCCGACGGTGAACATGATAACAATTGACATAATCATCTAAAATCAAAAAGTTAAATAGATTCTGTTAGTGTATGACAAAATGTAGTCCTTAATCGAAGGAATTAAAAAAATATCACTTTTTGACAAAATGGCAGCTTCTAAAAAAAAGTTCATTTTTATGAAAAAAAAATGGAGTGCAAATGTTCATTAAAATTATAGTTTTAATTTTATTTAAAAGATCTTCGATTAAGAACAGCAAAAAGTAATTATTGAGCTTGTGTGAAAATTAGAGGTAAATCGGTTCAGTGGTTTTCGAGAAATCGTGTTCTCCGACTTGAAAAACCCCACGGCGCGCCTTTCTAGTTTTGTCTGTAACTTCGAAAATATTTCTCGCATTTTAATAAAATTTTTTTTCACAGCAGGAAAATATATATACATTAAGAAAATGCAACAAAAATCGATTTTTTTTAAATCGTGACTGTATATAACCCCTTAATTAACAAAAAAATATAAATAATAATTAATTTTATTAAATAATATGTTAATGCCAGGCCATGATGATTTAACACCATTTATCTTGTTTTAAAGTAAAATTATTTAATTATAAATGAAAATGACTAGGGTCAGTTGTGGTAAATAGAAACAAGGGGTAAATCAAAACAGTAGTTATTTCAGTTAAATAAAAAATTTTTAAAATAAATACGGCCTTAAACCTTGAACCTTAGATCACCCCTAACATGTTCTAAGTATTCTCCCATTTTCCATTTGTCAATTAGCAGCAGTATAAACAAGATATTTCCTACTGCATAAAAAATTGAAAATCAAAGAAGACACCCTTTCACTATTTTGACTCGCATTAAAAAAAAAATAAACTAAAAATTCATATTATTATTTATAATTTTCTCTTATTAATACTACAACAAAAATCAATTTTGGTTTCTATTTTGCAAAATTTAATTAAAAATAGGAGACTGTTTCTATTTACCTCTAAAAACTGGAAATTCGGAGTAAACAGAAAGAGAGAGAGAGAGAGATTTACGTATTTTTTAACATTTGCATACTTCCAATTAATTTTTTCTTAAATTTTCTATAAGAAATAATATGATTGTTTCATATTTACCCCTAAATTTTAGCAAAGTTGAAAAAGTTAGGGGTAATTTTCTACTACTCCATAAAATTGTTCCACGAAAGTTAAATAATAACTCAATAAACGAAAAAACCGAAAGTATTGCAATTTAAAAGAAAAAACTTATATTATTGGTGAAACTTAGCAAACCTGTTTCCATTTCCCCCAACTGACCCTATTGGTTTTTTATTTTTTTGTAAACGCAAAAGTTAGTTTTTCATTTTAGATTTATTATCACATGTGCAACTGATTTATTAAAAAAATATAAGGGACATGAAATTGTGCACTAAAAGGGGATTCTCCCATAAATATCTTTTAAAAAGAAATCATTACAAATAAGAGCACGCTATTTTGACCAATCAGGCGACTTGAGTATTTTCTTCGACTCACTTATTCGTAGCTTTTTACGAAATGTCAAAACGCAAACCACACGAACAGAAATACTGAAGAAATTGAGAATTAATTTGTTAATCATTTTTTGATTTAGTTTCTTGCATTTTCTAGTACATAATAAAAGTGCAATAAGCATTTTAATTTCCCTAGAAACACGTCATCGTTACATAAAGAGTCGCGTTACGATTCGTTCTACGAACATCTAGCTTCGCACAAAATGCGCAGTTCCAATCTAGTTGCATAAGATACTATTTCTAAAAGACCTAATTGGGAATTGCACCCAAAAAATTGTTTAAAAAACTAAAGAAATAAATTAGGAAACATTTACTTGTTAACAAAATCTCACGTCTTTTATTCGCAATCGACATTTTTAAACTTCAAAATATTCACACTTGAATTTATATTGTGATAACTTTGATTATAAAACCTGAATCCAAACGCTGTAAAAGAAGAGTGCCACACAAGCGAGAATCTTTTTTTTTACTGGCGCATGAATATTCCCCAAAATGAATTCGAATTTGTTGGAATTTCCACGGTTTTGAAATTAATAAGCTCGAATTTCTATGTTACCGAATTTTATAAAGTATAATTTTTATTGAATTAAATTTTTATTTAAGTGAATTCATATTATTTAAAAGAATTTTTATTTAGTCGAACTTTTTATAAAACAGATTTTCTAGTTGACCGAATTTTCATTGAATATAATTTTTGTATAACAGAATTTATATTCTTCAAAATTTACATAATATAGAATTTTTAATTAACATAATTAGGCCTCGGGTCGACTTTAAAGCGCAAAAAAGTCGTTTTAGTCGATTTACATTCCAAAAAAAGTCGAAAAAGTCGATTTTTTTATTTTAATTAAATTTAACTAGTTAATAAGTATTTTACTTTAAATAACTAATGTTATTAGATACTAAATCCATTTTATTAATTTCTTAATAAGAATAATTCTATAGAAATATTATCAAGAAAATTTATTTCAAATATTTCAGAATCGAGGACGTAAAATTTTTAAATTTTAATTAAGTAGGACAAAATAAAAAAAAATTTTGACAACAATTTAATTTTAGAGTTTTTATTTGAAACTTTTTTAAATAATTGAATTTAAAAAAAAATAATAAAATTATTAAAAAATAATTGAACTTTGGAAAGGTTATAGTTGAAATTTTTAGAAATAATTAAATTTCGGACAATAATTAAATTTAAAAATAAATTAAAATAATTTATCAAATAATTTTAGATAACATTTTTTAAAAGGAATTGAATTTTAGAAGGTTTTAAATTGAATATTTAAAAAATAATTGAATTCACGCGACAATCTAAAATTCAATCACTTAAATTCTAAAATGATCTTACCTGTGTTTTCTTTAATGATCCAAAGGAATCCAATTGTAAATGCAAGTTTAACTTATTTAATTTTATTCAAATAAGTCGAAAAAAGTCGTAAAAGTTATACAATCCGAGGCCTGCATAATTTTTTTTTAATATAATTTTTATTTAGCAAAATATTCACTTAATAGAATTTTGACTAAATTGAATTCACATGTAACATAATTTCTATTTGACAAAACTTTTATTTAACTAAATTTTCAATAAAGAAATTTTTTATTTGAATCAATTATTATTTAGCAGAATTTTCTTTTAATAGAATTTTTACTTATTAAAATTTTTAAATGGCAGAATTTATATTCCATCGAAACTTCATTTGCTAAAATTTTTGTGTACGAATTTGCATTTGATAGACATTTTAAAACTTTAAATTTTTATTTGACCGAAATTGAAAATGACCGAACAAATATCCAACATAAAAACATAAACATAAAAGTTTTAGCGCGAATTTTAAAATTAACTAATTAGAAATAATCAAGAAAATTGTGATTGAGTAATTTTTGGGGCGCATGATTGTCTCATAAAAATTATTTGTTAGAATTTTCATTTTAAAGAATTTTATTAGATATAATTATTAGACAGATTTTCATTTTTCGAATTAGCATTTAAGAGAATTTCTTTTTAAACGAATTTTTATTTTGCAGATTTTATTTCACAGAATTTCTCTTTTATTATTTAAAAGAAATCTAATTTAACTGAATATTAATTTAGCAGAATTCTCATTGAAGAAAATTTTAAGTGATTCGAATTTTTAAATGTCAGATTTTTCATTTCACCGAATCTTCATTTGTCCGAATATTTATTTGCACGAATTATTATTTGGTAGACGAATCTTCATTTGACCGAATGAAAAATCAACAGGAAAATTTTGGCGTGATTTTCAAAATTGACTAAAGAGAAATTATCAAGAAATTTATAGTGCAGATAGAAATATTTGAATTTTTTTTATGCAGAACAAAAATCACGCTTTGCCAAATTGTGAGTTTGTACGTAGTGCCTATTTTCAGGCAGCAAACGTATTTGATGAAAACTGAGCGGGATGCAACTGCAACTGCAAAAAAAAAATTGGTGATCATCCAAAATTTATGCATGTGTCTCAGGATCAACACTTAATATTCTGCGTCACTTCTCTTTCTGTAAAAATAGAACGCTTTTTCTTAATCAACTTTAGTAAAAACATATTATTTTATATTAGCTGACAAAGGTTACGATTTCTTCATCAGTTAGAATATAATATTAAAAAAGATTGTTTTATTATTTTTAAATACATTGATTTCAGAAGATACAAAAAGTTGACTCCAGAGAGTATTTGAAACTATTAAAATGAGATCTAAAAATTTTTTTTAACGTCATTTAAGGCCACATTGGTTTGTTTCTTCTGGAGCCGTCAGATTGTAATACAATGTGGCAACCATGGTCTGTCTTTTTTCAAGTGATGTAGCGTTTAGAAGGCTAGCTTTTTCATCAGCAGATACATGTGTTGATCGATCTCAAAGCCGTGCAAATTATTCGCGTCACCCTGCAGTCGCATCAGTAATCCTCCAAAAGAAACATAGGCAGATCTGTAACACAAAGAAATTGAGAATTATTAATTGTGTTTGAGAATAAGTAAATCTTTATTATCATGAGCTGCTTTAAAATATATAATTCAATTAAGTTTAGAGAACAAGTTTATCAAAAAAGGATACATTTAATTTTTTGTGTACACTTTTAAATAATTGATGGATGAATTTTGGCAGTTGACTTGCAATCGTCATAATTGCAGTGCCGATAGCGGTTGTGTTTAATATATGACACAACCAGCTAACCACACTGCCAACACGCCGAATGCCACATACTTCTTTCGCTGATTCCTTTAAGTCCATTATTTGTCGCATTACTTCATAAACACCATTTTTTTCTTACCATTTTGAATCTATAATCTATTTTATAATATGAAAATAGAATTAAATAATCAGTAAAATCTGTGGTCTCCACTAGAGGGTACTAATGTATTTTGGAAGTATTTAGTTGGGATGGGGAAAATTCAATATTTGTATTCTACGGTTACAGATTTAAAAATAATAAATTATTGAATACATTATACTTAGGTATACTTATTTTAATAAACATTTTTTACACTGAAAGAAATTTTTTTGAATACAGACCATAATTCTGATTAATCCCGCCATATTGTATCGGTGATTTTGTTTCAACAAATTGTACTAGTGCTTCTGCAACCTTGTACTTTCTTTGCATTTGCTCTGCATTTAACTTATGTAAACGCAACAATTTTCAGTTGTCGAAAATTTAATTTTATGAATTACTAACTAATTCAATTGAATTAATTAGTAATAAAAAAAATTAAGTTAAAAGAGGAGATGTATTTCTAAAACTATAGTTTATTCTATTTTTATTTTATTTTATTTGTTATTAATTTTTCTATTTTTGATAATAAACAATAACAAAGATTCATTTAACATTAAATTTAAAGTTTATAAGCTCAATTCCAAAGTTGCAACTCAAATTTTATGTTATGAAGATGAGTAATTTTCTCATTCACGAGAATAACTGTTTCACACAATTTGATGCGAGTAAAAATACAAATAAATAATAATAATAATACAGGGTGTCTAACAACTGCTAGGAAAAAAATCCCCTGACTTTTCATTGACTTTTTCCTGACCTAAATTACACTAAAAAATTTTTATTTTGATCGAATAAAATTTATTTTGACACAATTAAATTACAATTACCATAACACAATTATTTACCTGTCTATTATCAACTAATTTCATATCTATTTGAACCAAATAAATAATGTTTCGTAAAAAATAAAATTTTTAATTGAAATAAATAAACTAATTGGGGACGTATAAATATTCTCAACATTTAATTTAAAAAATTTTTACGGCGTCGAATCTTAAATTATCAAATTTTTATTTAGTAAAATTATATAAAGCAGATTTTCTAGTACATCGAATTTCAAATTAATACAATTGCAATTTAACAGAATTTTTATCAAGAAAAGTTGCACAAAGAAAATTTTTTTTAACAGAATTGTTATTTTAGTAAATTTCTATTTAACAAAATTTTTAATTAACAAAGTTTTTATTAAAGAAAATTTTAATTCCAACTAATTCTTATTTAACAGAATTCTCATTTAAGAAAAAATCTACTTAATTCTTTTTTTGTCAATTTTTCTAGACATAAATTTTGTCAAATTGAAATTATATTAATTTAAAATTTTAAAAAAGTATTTGAAAAAATGCTTCATAAGAGTTCTGCTAAATAGAAATTCTTTTAAATCGAATTTCAGTTAAATGTAAATTCTTTGATATGAAAATTTGGCGTAATATAAAAACCACTTTATACAATTTTACTAAATACAAATTCGATAATTTAATATTCGACGCCGTAAAAATTTTTATAAGTTAAATGTGGGTATTAGCATTAAATAATAAATTATTCGTATTAATGAATAATCTACTTTATTTGAAGTTGAACCGATAAAATAAAATTGTATCATATAATTTTTATTTATATTAAAAAACCAAATATTTCACTGAAAAAAATTAATTAATTGTTCCAAGTTTAAAAAATCATTTATTAGATTCAATAAATAGTAGTAAATAATTATTTACTTAATGAATATAAGATATATCACATGCTTTATAATTGAGTGTGAAGGCCAACTTTTTAATTTGCATTTGCTTTGGGAAAAAAGTAAAACAAATTTTGAAACTAATAGTTACTTTAATTTATTCTAAAAAAAATTCCAGAAAATTAAAGAAATTCCCTTAGTTTTCCCTGTCCATTTAAATTCCCTAACCGTTAGACACCCTGCAATAATAATAAAATGTAATGGAAATTAATTTTTAAATTATTAAAGTTTGTTTGTATGAATTTTTAAATTATTAAAGGCAATTGCCCCAATAAGAGTTTCTTTTTGCACATCAAGTATCTGCGCATGACGTAAATAGGTGGGCTATAGTTTAAACTTCTGCTTAGACCACATATATGGTCTTATGATTTTTCTACTGCAATCAACAAAATCTTTGAAATTCTTTTTATGTTTATAGATAAAAACAATTAATTCTTTCCGAGTCAAATAAAAAGAACACTGTTATTTTTTTCTTTTTTTACGTTTTGACGATAACTTTCGTCATCATCAGAAAACAAAAACTTTATTTAAACATTTTTTTGGTTATATTATAAATACATTAAACAATAAATTAAATACAATGAAAAATGAATAATATAAAAATAAATAAATAGGGAAATGAAAATAAATATTTTTTTTTTGTGTTTATTGGATTGGTTTAGAAAATTATGTGTATCTCCATCAAAATCTTGTCCCAATTCTTCATGTTTCTTCAATTTACTAGCGAATAGGGAAACATTAAACTGATTAGCAATAGCCGTCAAACTTTGTTTCTCAATGAACAGTTTGTTTAGTGCATCAGACTTACACTGAATTCACTTAATATTCCTTATTTTTTACTGTTTTGCACTCTAGGGTAAAAAATATTTTTAACAGAAAAGGATCAATTTTCTAATAAATACAAGTACATTTCAAAAACATTTTCTTATTTTTTTTTCTAATAAGAAGTATATGAAAAATCAAAGACATTGAGTAGTGACTCATTGAGAACATGTTTTATGACTAAGTGTTCTTAAACATGAATAATCAATTATGTTAGATTGGAATTTCCGGAAGCTTGAAGAAGGTATTTATTTCAAACAAAATATATTTATATCTTCATCCATTGTGACCTTGTAACTTATTTCACATTTCTAATGTGTATCACTAAATTTATTCCACTATCAAACTTCTTTTTATTTTTTCCATTTTTATTGATAACGTTGTTATTATGTAACTCTTATATAAATAGAACTTTAGAATTTAATACGTAATATCAATAGTTAGAAATGCACTTTTAAGAAAATTATAACATTTCAAATTTGTTTTTAAACCCGCGCAAAAAAAGCATTTAACACTAAGAAATTTCTCAAAAAATTTTTATAATACAAAATATAATGAATCATAAAAAGTGGCATTATGTATACCTATGAGAATTTGAATAAATTAATTTGTAAAAATATTTAATGCTTCTCATGGTTCAGTGAGCAACGCTGACAACGTCTGGCAACAGTGCATATACGTCATACCTTAGATTTTAATTTTATTAAAAAAAAACAACCAAAATCTTTGCAGAGCACATTCGTGATTAATTCGACTCTTCAGTTGTATTTATAATTCAATATTCAAACCTTATTTATTCGATCTATATACTTTTACATTCTTTTTTCTCTTTTATTTGTAAAGGCATAGGTTTAAATAGTTTTTTATTTGTATAGATTTTACTGTTTAAAACGAGTAATTTAAATATAAAAATGAAAAATAGATTAACAAAATCAGATTATTTATTTAAGGATAGGAAATTAAAAAAACATATTCCCCCAGCTGAAAGTTATATATTTCATCTGAAGTTGTAGTTTTAAATTACTAAAACCTTGATAAAATGGTAAAATTATATGTAGGCATGATACAAATACAAATACAAAAAATGAGAGCATGATCAGAAATAACTTGCACACTTCTGTAATAAAGATACTTAAATTTTGTTCTTAACCCTTTGATGATCAACTTGAACATTTTTTTGATGCATAATTTTCCTGGGTTTGAAATCTGTATTTGTGACGCTCCACGAGAAAAGGGACCTTTTGGTAAAAAAAAATTTAGGTTATGTTTGTGATTTTTTAAGTGAAAATGCATAAAAGTATCAAATAAAACATTTATGCTCAAGTCTTCATTACATTCGAAAAATTCAATAAAAAATCTATTTTTGATTTTACCTAATTAATTAAAAACCTTTTATCAAGGTATAACTATCACTAAACATAACCTCAAATTTCTTAACCCTAAAGTTCGTTTTCCCGTGGAGAGTCATCGAAATAATTTTCTCGACGTTTAGAGCAGTAAATCTCCAATTCAAAAGTTTGGTTTTCAGGTTTTAAAAAATGTTTATTAGGTTTAGAAACCTTTTTTAAAAAACAAAATTATAATAATTTATGAAAAAAATTTGTCATCAAAGCGTTAAGCACTTCTTTATATTTTTGGCTTAAATTATTTATTACATTATTAGTAAAAAATGTTTTAAAAAAATATCCTATTATACAATAAATTAGCAGTCTTCGCAGGGTAGTGACTAAATCTTCTCCTCGAACAGTTGTCGTTGGTTTAAATCCTGGTTGATTTGTCCAAAAAGTGTTTTTTAATAAGTACACTTATAAGTTAAAAAAATATTTGTATGTTCTATTGTTCGACTGAACTAGTCAAAACAATACCCGCATTATTTTACAATGAATTTTGATTTGACTCACTTTGTTCAATTGAAAGTTTGGCTACACTGCAAGTTACGTTGTCATCTTGTCAAATATTGCGAGTTTTGCTTGACATAATACGAAAAGAGAAACATATTTTTATAAATTAATTAATTCTAACTCTCACAGGTACAATTAACAATTAAATAATAATTATATAATATTAATAGTTAATAATTTCAATATTTTTAATATC